ACTGCCCTCACGAATCCCAATTTCAGAGAGGGACAGGGGACCTGTCTTTCCATGCACTGTTTAACTTAAGAGCAGAGAACTCAAGAAAAGGCTCTACCTTCTCTCAGAAACAGTCTGTGTACTCTTTTGCTCTGAATGCACCATGAAATAGCAACAAAGATGGCCGCTCTCTCCTTTGTGTTCACCGTGAATTTTCAGTTGATCTGTGTAACTTGATGTAATAGTAATGGAAGAAAACGTCTGATTTTTAGGTAGGCACAGATGTGTAATTAATCTCATTCCTAAGTATGAAAAGGAAAAAAAACATAAACATTAAATACTTTGCTATGTATATAGCAAGGATGGAGGGAAGTCAATGGTTTTTAAATACCTCAAATCATATTTTCATCATGTGTGTTTCCTGTCTTTACCATAAGGAACTGAGGCCCATAAGCATTCCTGTGATCCCTATATGTTTGGCATTGTCTTTTTTTCTCCCTAGTGTTTAGTTTTCCCCATGAAGTTTTCTTTTTATTGTCAAAAATATTAATTTCTTAAATGTTTGGAAGCCAATGAGAATCTGTCTAACATTTAAATCAAATTTTAAAATTAGTGTTCAGGGACTCAGTTGTCTTAAATGCTTTATTTAAAGATATTCTCATCTTCAATCTGTCCCCTTTGCCTATTAATCACTGTTGTCTTTTGCAGTCCAATAGAAAGTGTAGGTATGTTTTGGCTTTCCTATTGGGTCCCAACATTGGTGTCATAAGCAAGTAATTCAATGCTCTTTCCCATTGTGGTAGTCAGTGGATAAGCTGCAGAGTGAATGGCCAGCTGCTGTTACACAAGTGAACATGAAGACTGTAAGAAGAGCATCGTAATTACTCTCATTGACCCCCTGGAGCCTCCTGGTCTAGATGGAGCCTTCTGGTCTACCTGCAGCCACTTGATCTACCTGCAGCCACCTGGTCTAGATGGCTTGCTTTTTTTTTTTTTTTTTTTACTCCTTCGATCCTTTTGGGATACAAAACTACTGTGTAGTGCCATGGTCCTAGAAATTACTATGCTGACTAGGCTTTCCTTGGACTTGCAATACCTTTCCTTTACCTTCCAAGTGCCAGGATCGAAGCTGTGCACATTCCTCTTCTTCAGGCTAGACATAATCGTTTGATATTCCTTTAGGACAACATAAGATCAGAAAAGATTTCACAGAATCTTAACTGATATAACCTAATACTTCCCCCTTGGTCTTAGCAAACCTTTGACTTATACGAGACTGGATTAGCCAAAGAGGACTCTATTTTTAAAAGATATCTGTTGGCTGTCCAATTGTTCATTTTTAATCAGCAGAGGTACATATAGGCCATTTTGTTTGCCTCATACTTATGTATGCACCAAAGTTCTGTTTTGACCACATTGCTAGAATTATTTTCATCTACTCTTTGATGACCTCAGCAGGAGAGAACTGTTGCCAGCATTTTTAAAGGTCCTGGGTCTCTACTGCTGCTCTTTGTAACTGGATGAGGGTAGGGAAATTCCAGATCTGCATCTGATTCATAATAAGAGCTCAGGAAAGCCTAGCTACTACCTGGCATGTGAGGTTTAAAAAACAGCTCATAAAATTGAGGTATGCTGAGGCAAATTCTATAAACATTATCATTGATAATGATTTTATTGATCTGATCACAATGGAAACAAGTTCATGAAGTTGGTAGAAAATGTCCATCAACATTTTCCCTGTTCCCCAAACCTTGGTCTGTGTGATTTCCAATGTCTTCCCATATACCTCTGTGCTACCTGGTCAGTCTGTCTTGTCTTTGCTTGTTCAAGTGACATACAGGGCCTTACTCCCACTCAAACTCACACCAACACCTCTATCTCAGCCTCCCAAGTCCTGAAATTACCAGGCCCGTGCCACCACTCCCTGCTCCCACTTGTTATGTTTATCTCCTTATTTTATTGGAGCTGATTCTATTTAGGCAAGATTTAATTCTGAGGACTGTGAGAGTCACACTATTCTTATTCCCAGCCACATTTGAGAAGAGGACTCTATAAAAGAAATGCAGAAATTATAGGGTATAATCTCAAAAGACTGAGTCTAAGAAATGATATTACCCATGATAGACCCTTTAGAACATTGGTTCTCAGCCTTCCTAATGCTGCAAGCTCTTAATACAGTTCCTAATGCTATTGTTACTCCCAACAATAAGATTGTCTTTGTTGCTACCTCATAACTGTAATTTTCCTACTGTTATGAATCATAATGTAAATATTTGTATTTTATGATGGTCTTAGTTGACCACATGTGAAAGGTTCATTAGACCCCCCCCGGGGGTAGCAACACACAGGTCGAGAACCACTGCTTTAGAGGCTAGATATGGGGCTGTAGGAGAGTGGAAGGAAGACCTCGGGAAGACTGTTTCATACCAACACATGCTTATAACACTTGACTGATTCTTTCTCCTGATATTCCTGAATAAATTAACTCTGATTACTTTATTGGTGAAAGCTAACTTTAAATCCAACTCATCTTTTGTTGGTTCACAATATTATCTGCATTTACTTCTTTCCATTCATAAATGCATATATATATATATATATATATATATATATATATATATATATATATACCTGGGATCCTGAGAAGTGCATATAAAATTTAACTACAGTATGGAATTCCATGTGGCCTACAGGGACATTGCTTTCTGCTTGGGTTGTCCTCTGTCTTCACTGGAAACATGCCACACACCCCAGAATCGGTCCAATCACATTTCCCTTTTCCTTTTCATATGTCTAAGAACCAAAGTACCAAGTGTGACAAAATGTGTACCCTACCACGTTCATCTCTACTTTCTCTTACTGACAGCTTTTTGGCCAGTTTGAGGGGCTCCATTCTAGGGAGGCTAATTTCTTAGTCTCAATATCCCATGTGTATTAGTGGAAGCTAGTTAGGTGTAAGTTGCTATAAAAACTGATCACAACATCCCTGCTCACTTAGTTTTAACATCTCATCAGGACAGTCATTCATAGAGGTGGACTCGGTGAGCTAGAAAACACTTAGAATTTCATTCTTTTTCTAAACCGATTGCCTCCATTTTTCTATTTCTCTTTTGAAAAACTTTTCATCCAAATGGGACATTCTCTAGACAATATGAAGTGCCATTTCCCTGTAGACCAGTAAATCAAAATTTGAAAGGTATTATGTGTACACGCATCTTCCTCCAAAGAAGTACAGTGATGTTTATTTTTTATTTCATTTTACATTCCAACCAAAGTTCTCCCTCCCACACTTCCTCCCTCCCCCTGCCTCCTCCCATCCTGCTTGCCTCCCTCTCGGCCACCCAGTCCACTCATTTTCATGGGCAAGGGCTCCTATGAGGAGTTAACATCTGGCACAATAGGTTGGGGCATCCCAGCATAGAGAATGAGCTCCAACAAGCTAACTCATGTACCAGGTTTGTAGCAGAGATGTTTTCTTGACCAGGGCACTCTCAGATTCTCAGATGTTGTTGATGGAGGTGTGTGTGTGTGCAACTGTATTTTAACAGCTTCATTTGCTATGAAAACAGTCTGTTAAACTAGTGTCCTTGAAGCTCCTGAGTTAAGTTTAGTGGATACTGTAGACTCCCTCGGGGGAAAAAAAGAAATCCAGAGGTTACAAAACTGTGAAAAATACCAGTCACAAACCCAAAACAAACTGGGTCGGAGTCTAGTTACTTCAGCTTTAATACTGTGTGATTCTGTGGGGGTGACTGTAAACTGGCTTCTCTTGTATGCTGGTAGACGACTTAAGTTTTTCCCATCAAGTTAGATACAGACTTTGCTGAATAGAGTACAGCGTTCCAAGGCCACAGACTTGAGAGAAATTTTAATCTAGTTCTTACAATTGTACTATTGTCAAAGGTTTGCCAAGATAAAGCCTGCACTGTATTAAGGATTTCAATGCTCCATTAGTTATTTGTGACTGCATTTGCTGGACTCTTTCCCTTGTAATACAATGGTCTTCAAAAGTTGGTTATGTTCTTTGACACTGTCCCATGGGTAGCAAGCAGCTCCGCAGTGTGTATGATCTACCAGTGACAATCTCTCTCCAGCAGTCTGGCGAATTGGCAAGAGACTTGAGCTATAGCTGCAGACGCCAATGGCTGCCTTTCTTGGAAGCACCACTATCCAGAGAGCATGGCTGGGAAACTGGAGAGGAAGGCAGCCTACCTCTCCTTGCATGCTTTTTCCTGTGCTCAGAGTCAACTCTTACTTTGGAAGCAATTTAATATCATGATGCGGTGAGATTAAGCATTGTGTTTTTCTTGATCATCATTTCAATTTTAACACCATGTCCTCCATGAATGGAAGGCATACAGTGCATGCTTTTAAGAGATGATCTCTTTGAGATCAGATTCATGTCTATTTGTATCTCAAGTAATTTGCCAACTCAATATTTTGGCTGAGCAATCCAAGTCAGATTGTGGTCCAAGTAGCAGGCACTTCCATTGGATATATGAAGCCTTGGTAAGCAATTAGTGATGAATATTTAATTGCCTTCATTACCATTGTGTGAACAGTGTGGATGGCATTTGGGACATGGCCACCAGAGGTGAACTCCTCTGAGCTCTGTTTCTGGTTACCTGACTACAGGAAAGCTTCCTTTGGGACTTATGCCACCTCTACACCTTTACTGAATAAAAATGAAGCCGGCTTCCCAAATACAGAGCAGGTTGCTGATGGGAAATCTCTATGTGCTTTTTGTGACTAAGGAAGGTTGTCTCCAAGGATCCCAGCCTAACTCCTTCAGGCACACAAAACCCAAATGCCAAGACTTTTTATGGGTTTGAAAGAGTCAAAGTTCCTTCCAAAGCCCTGCTGATTATTTTCCTTAATTGCCTTGTTGAACATGCAAAGGTGAATAAACCAATATCCCCTGTCTCCTAGAAGCCAACTTTATTATGTATGGCCCAAGGGGAGAAATGTCTTTGAGTAATTATAGTTTCAAGATTCTCATTTTAAATTTCTTTTTTTTGAAGGAAAAAACAACACTGGAGAGTCTGACTCAGCAACTGGCAGTTAAACAGAATGAAGAAGGAAAATTTAGCCATGGAATGATGGATTTCAATATGAGTGGAGACTCCGATGGTTTGTGATTCTTACTCATTCGTCACGCAGAATGGAGGGGTAGAGATGCATTTAGAACAAAGAGAGTAGACAGGAAGGCCTTGCCTCCCTGGCCATCGCAGTGGGGGGGGGGGTTCACACACACCGGGCAGTCCCTGTGTACCAAGCACTCCTCAGTCATTCTTGCTCTGCGACACCTGTCAGCACCACTGCAGACGGTTGACCCCAGCAGTGTGGAATCATTTCCCCAGGATCAGGGGACTGTAAGTGCCAAAGGCAAGGCTCAGATCTAAGATGACATAGTTCCAAAGCAAGAACTCTCTCCCAGCAGCCCTCCCCCACCTCTCACCTCCTTATTTCCTGCACGCCAAATTTTGTAGAACTGTATATCTCTCAGCTCATTTTGTAGCTTGCAATTTCAGCTAAACAAACAGTACAGAAGACATGGCCTGGGCATTTTCCTTGCATTTGGAGCCTTCCATGACACATGGTCCTCACACCAACAGACGCCCCTCTAACCCAGCATCTAGACCCCCGTCCTCCCAGCACTCTGTCTGGAGAGCTACAACTCCCCTCCTGTACCTCACACTTACATCACTTTAAACATGGCAGCCAGCAGCCAGATACCCAGTTCAGCTGAGACAGCAAAGAGAGCATACGGAGAGATAGTTTCTCTATGCAGGACCCCAGCCAGGTCTTCCCTCCAGGACCAGGTGATGTGTGCGTTAGGGCATTAGTGGCCTGGCCTTGCTGCAGGCTGGAAGGAGACCCAGCAAACCACGGAGAAGCAGAATGCAGAAGAGGAGGAGGTCCACGAGACTCCTACACACACACACACACACACACACACACACACACATCTCTACTCAACGCCCTCGGCAGCTAGGCGAGCGGGACCATTTCACTTACTGCTCCCTTGAAACTGAACATGCGCAGCTGGAGTGCCAGAAACACAAAACCCTGCTGCCATTTCCCTTGTGCATCTTGCTACTGCACCAGGGAGAGTAGATCTGGCTGACACACACACACACACACACACACACACACACACACACACACACAAAGAGCCTGTTCAGAGTCGACGGAGGCCCGCACTGCTGCACTCGTGGCTCCTGTTGCCGTAAGGTGTTAAGAACCAGAAGCATCAGGGTCAGATGTGCCTATGTGATCATTCCCTAGCGGCAAACCCATTGTCAGAAGGATGGTGTTGTGCATGAGCGCCACCGCTTGTCGGTCAAGAGGCAGTTACTGGCGGTAACACCTTCCATCCATTTTAAGTTCCCCTCCCACGGTAAAACACACTCTGGCACCGAGCATTATTACAACAGCAGAGTTTGTGTTGCCCTTGTCTAATTGAGTGGTGTGCCTACATGCAAAGCAGCTTCCAGGCTATGCCGGGCAAGGAGCACGTAATGAATGAGGAACCGTGAACCGTGTGGCCGGCCGAGAGATGCTATCTTGCTGCTGTTGTTTTTAGTCTGCCAGCCCTATAGAGGCAATATTTACTGACGGCTTACCGATTCTGCAGATTAAGGTATACGGATGAATAGGAAGGGCTTTTAAAAGAAAGACATGACTATTTTCTTGGTGGCCCAAGAACCAGGAACTCCCAGATTCTAAGTTTTCTGCTGTTTTTCTTTCCTTTCGACATAACAGCAGAGTGCCATGCTTCCTGACCCCCCTCATTCTCCTCACCCAAACCTAAGCATCTTGGCTTCCAAGCTGTGAGCCACTCTGCCAGAGCTACTGAATGAAATCACATAGGCCAGAGGAGGGAGAGTGTAGCTTCTTGTGTGACTCTCTGGGGTTGAGGGACAGCTTATCATCGTCAATGCTTGATATCTAAACACAACCATCAATTGGTCTTTTGATGACATGTTAGGAGAAAACATTAAGTGAGATATACGGTTTCTTCCTACTTTAAACATGACAGAAAATTTAAGAATCAATAGCAACACACTAATTAATTGGTTCTCTCTCCTGCAACTATAGGCAGAATAGAATATATATGCATATATATTAATATATATACATATATAATTGAAAAGAAAAACAACAACCACATTAAAGGGAGACCTTTATATTGTTCTGACCAAAATTCTATCTAGCACGTTTTTACTAATATGTCCTCGGAGACAAAAGGGAGGTACAAATACTTCAGTTTCTCACAGTCTTGGTGTAGCCTTTCCTAACCCAGCTTGCCATACCCCTGAGTGTCCCCAGGTTTTATCAGGTCCTCTACGTCTATAATATTTCTGCAGTACTGATACACCCAAAGAATCAAAAAAACATTATGTCCCAGCTCTCTGGGAGCTCTTCAGGAAATGCTCAAACTGTCCATAGTCCATTGAAAATCCAAGAAGTAATGAGAACCGGGTTAAAAAAAATACACATTTGCTGCCACAGACTTATCACAGAAACTTCATAAGCAGCATCTGCCTTAGGGACTGGGAGTCCCATTATCAGAAGGACGTTTTGTTTTCGGGTATTTTAATAGACTGAGAGAACCGTCATCAGGGGAGAGTTCTGCCAGCTCTCAACACTGACAGAAGTGCTGATGTTCCCTGTTTCTAGGAAGCGCCGGAGTTTCAGAGTCAAGAATTTACAGGGAATCTAGGGGACGCGGGAGCAACGAGCCCCACATAAAGCGTCCGATGAATGCCTTCATGGTGTGGGCAAAAGACGAACGGAGGAAAATCCTTCAGGCTTTTCCTGACATGCACAATTCCAACATCAGCAAGATACTGGGTAAGGAGTGGAGGCCTACGTGGGTGCCGGGTGAGGAGAGAGTGGAGGCCTGAGTGGGTGCCTGTGATGTGTGGCACTCTCAGGCCGGGTGTGACAGGCACGTGGCTCCTGCCACCTGATTTTTCAGCACATTACTGCCATGACTGAGGACCCTGTGAAGAGCACAGTATCAGTTGTTCAATGAGGCAAGTGCCCCATTTGTAACCCCTTCTGAAAAGTGGTCACGCCCATGACTGTAAAAGTCCTCCCTGCTTTCACGCATGCCATTCCTAGTGATGACTTTTTTTCTTCATTTCCCTTGTGAAGCGGTCATGCAGGTCTCACCCCTCTCTTGTGCTCTTTTGCAGGAGCATGCAAATTTTAGAGTTGTGTTTAGTGTGCACGGCATATGGCGTGCGGGGCGGAGAGGGGAGCTACAGACTGGCTAATCAGAACATAGGATCTAGAATGTCCACTCCCGTATGGCCAATAACCCTATGGACTGAAGGTGCTCCTGGTAGCCCTTAGAGTCATGGGCATTGCTGTGAGCTTAACTGAAAAGAAGCTTGGCTTACCAGGACAGCCCCCAGTATACCAGAAGACAGAGCACGCGTTTACCCCAAAGCAGACACAGAGAAGATGGGAAGGGAGGGAGAGAGGGAGGAAGGAAGGAAGGAAGGAAGGATTGAAGGAAGGAAGGAAGGAGAGAAGGAGAGAGGAATTGATGGACAGACAGACAGAGGCAGGGAGGGCATGGAATACAGAAAGAGTTACTGCAGACTGACTTAAGGCAAGAGCCAGGTAGAGCTAAAGGGAAATGAAGGTTCTATTCTCCATTTGTCTTTTGGCCTTTTGACCACGTAACCATCACCATCCTCATCTTCATCTCCAAGTAGCATGGTGCAGTAGAGCAGCAAGGTGGGTTCTACATTGTCCATTCTGTAACAACTAGAGTTCAGAATGAAAGCACCAAGCCCCGACAGAGAAAAAAGGAGGCCTTCAAAGTAAGAAGCAGCAAGCGCATAAACTACTTAGGCTTTAATAGAACTGATAATGCTCTTGGAGTTGTGTGGACATCATAAAGAAATGTCTCTGCGGGTGTGTTGAAGGACTGATCACCTGCAAGTGGTGACTGAATGTACCCTTCCGTATTTATACTTCCATAGTCTCAACAGAGGCAGCAGACACCACCCGGTTCCCAAGGTGTTCCTGCAATGTCATCAGATCACATAAAAACACATGCACCTGAACGTGTGTGTGTGTGTGTGTGTGTGTGTGTGTGTGTTTGCGCATACGTTAGTGTTCTCTTCTAAAATAGTCCTCAGATGAATGCATGGATGTTGTCTGAAAGATTAGAACAAGTGGAGCCCCTTGCAGAAACAGGATTTGTGTATCTGAAAACATAAATTTGCATAAACACTGCGGGAATTGACGAAGGGGAAACCAGTATCTCTAATGACTCTGCCGTGTCTTGGCCTATGTCTCCCTTTAACTACTTTATTCTCTCTTCACCACGGATCACCCAAATCATGAATCCCCCAAACTTTTAAAAACTGGGCTTCAGTATGTAGAATAAGCTGGCCTCGAACTCAGAGATATGCCAGCCTCTCTCCCCCAAATGCTAGGATTAAAGGAGTGTGCCACTATGTCTGGAGGGAATCCTCATCTGAACATGGCATACCTGCTTCGCCTGTAGTCACTTTGACAAAGGAGCTCAGTGCTAAATCCATTTCACTGGTTAAAACTTTATCTAGATAGAAGAACAGTTTGGAGCAGTGCTGTGGTTGCTGGGGAGGTGGCTCAGTAGTTAAGAACACTTGCTGCCTGGCTAGGTTTTCAGCAGTCAAGCTCACAGCTGCCTGCAGCTGCAGGACCACAGTATCCAAAGTCTGGTCTCCATGATCAACTGCCTGTGCGTGCTCGTACACACACACACACACACACACACACACACACACACACACACACACACACGGTTAGAAATCTTTAAACATGTTTTTATTTTTCCTTTGAGACAGGCTTTCTCTGTGTAACAGCTCTGGTTATCCTGGAACTAGCTTTGTGTAGACCAGGCTGGTCTGGAACTCACAGAGATCCGCCTGCCTCTGCCCCTGAGTGCTGGGATTAAAGGCATGCACCACCCCCACCTGGCTTGTGTGTTTTTTTCTTTTTAAAGACAATAATTTTTCTAGGAAATGTACCAAAGATTCTTTACTAACTGGCTAGGAGAATCTGTTAAGGTGGGAGTTGCTATATGATCTCTGACATTACAATCTATACATAAGGTGATCCCAGCCCAAGACTTACTGATAAAGCCATATTAATTAAACATATAGCATTTATATATAGTCACATAAAAATTAAACACTCAAGTGTTTGGGGCCTCAATATTTAGTTATAGCTTTAAATAAATACAAAATCTTCAAATAGCAACAAGATGGTTCTAAATGGCCTATTTCATATAAAAGTACAAAGAAGGCTTGATGTTTTTCTCTCTACTGATTGTTTTGGATAACAGCCTCCGACAGCATGCTGCTAATTCATTCTGCTTAAAACAGGCGCTTGAGCTGGGTTGACATTTTACGTAGTCTCTGGGGATCCTAGTTGACATTTTAAAGGGCTTCTAAGCATTTTATAATACCCTAAAATCTGGTTTTAATAAGCCATTCTGCTGAAATTGTTAACATACGGAATCACCTTTTACTGTTTGGCGCGAGATCAGGGACTGGGGACATCTTTTTCTGATTAGATATACAGTAGTCGGAGTAAAATGTGCAAATTCATTACATGCCCCATGGAGATGGCATAGCTGCTCAGCACAGCTCTCCTCGTGTAGCATACTGCCAGACTCAGAAGTCAGAAAGAAAAAAAAAAGGTGAAGGCTACTTATCTTCTCTTATTTTGAGCATCAAATATGTTTTTCATTGCAACTTACTCTTTTTGTTTATGAGGAGGCATTCCCAATAGTCTATTCACTTTCGTCGCAAAGAGCCCACAGCAAGCCACTACCTCATGGTACACGGCTGTGGGCACAAACCAAGCAGCTCTTTTCATGTCTCTGTGGGGAGGGGGTAAACTACCACAATGTGTTTGCTACTACACCCAATGAGTGAGCTATGGGGTCTGCAGTCAACTGCTGTTGTTGCTGGGAAGCCACTGAGACCAAAACCAACTTACCAATTGGCCGTTCTTACCCAGAGGAAGTATTAAAGATGTAAACTAGATTTGCCTCCAAACTAAGACTGCATGGTCCTAAGGCGGGGTTGAGTCGCTGCATCCCCGTTGGTATCTGAGTGTCATAATTCATAATCATGAATAAATAAATCTGTAAGCTGAGTAGTGGGGGTATACATGCTTGTAATCCCAGAATTTGGAATATTAGAGCAGGAAGACTGAGCTACCGGGAGAGACCCTGACTCTAAAAGCGAAAGGTATTGGTATTTGTAATTACTATGTGGCCCTATTTTAGACTATAGCTTAAGGCTGGGTGCTCTGAAGGGAAACACACTTAAAACAGGGTGTTTTAATTCTCACCCTACCCACCCGCCATTGTGCATGATAGGAAATGTAAAAATGATCGTCAAGCCAAGACAGGTTACCTCCTTCAGTGAGAATTTCATTTCCTTAGCCAAGAGATATTTTAGAGAAAGTCTTCAATAATCTGACTGAATCTCCTTATTTCTGTATTTAGTTTTCAGAGAAGATAGAATCAGAGACCTGTGATTATCATTGTATTTTTTTTTCTATCTGGTGAACTGCTTCTGGTAAACTGACCCTTATGGGCTGATCTGCAGTTTGAAATCCGGTCTATACCCTGGCAAGAAATGCCATGAAAAGAACAGATCTCATTCAACAGTATATTAATATTATGTGTGTTTGTAATGACCCCAGAAGCAGCATACTAATAGGAAAGTCCCACGAAAGCAGTGGTTCTCAACCTGTGGGTTATGACTCTCTGGGCATCACATATCAGATAACCTGTAAATCAGACACTCACATTATTATTCATAACAATAGCAAAATTAGTTATGAAGTAACAACAAAATAACTTTATGGTTGTGGATCAACACAACACAAGGAACTGTACTAAAGGGTTGCAGCATTAGGAGCAAGTGGCAGGTGTCAGCTCTCGCCATCTACCATGTGAGTCAGGGCTGGCTGATCAGAGCATCACAGGACCCGAGATGGCTCAAAGGTCTTAGCGCAGTTCTCACAGGCGGTAACCCCCGCCACCCTCCCATACCCCCGATCTTCCTTCTAGTCATAAGCACCTATTTAAAGGAGTTGATTCTTAAGCACGATGAGTTTTACAGGCATGGCTTCTGAAACAAGCACGTGATGCGTGAACTTTTGTGATAAGCAATGTGCCCTCAACATAGAAATGCTCCAAGACTCAATAAGCTACGGATTCACAGTACGTGTTGAATTCACTTGGGACTTTTAGAAGTTTAACTGCATCATATAAAACGCTTGAGCTTTGCAGCGCATAATGAGCAAGTTTAGCTAACAGTTCATTCGAGTCAAAAATAATGCGTTGCCCAGTGCTCGTGTCTTTTGGGTGCATAATTTCCTTACAGACACCTCTGCTCTTGTGAAAATCTCGCCTTTCAAGTTGATCTTGCTAATCGGAAACATGTTTGTGTAGTTCTGGGTTTTGTCCAACATTTATTTTTTTCTCTCTCTCTAAATTCCTTTCTTGTTCTCCGTGGCATCTCTCTTTATTTTATTTTTTTATGGTTCTTAGGAACACTGAAAATTGGCATCCCTAACCCCTTGTCTCCACAGGATCCCGCTGGAAAGCTATGACCAACCTAGAGAAACAGCCATACTATGAGGAGCAGGCCCGCCTCAGCAAGCAGCACCTGGAGAAGTACCCGGATTATAAGTACAAGCCCAGGCCGAAGCGCACCTGCTTGGTAGATGGCAAGAAGCTGCGCATCGGGGAGTACAAGGCCATCATGCGGAACCGGAGGCAGGAGATGCGGCAGTACTTCAACGTCGGGTAAGAGGACTTCCTCCCGGCCCCCCCCGGCCCCCACTGTACAGCTGCTGCGCCACACAACGCCAACTGCACGTGGTCCACAAGGGGACTACCCTCCCCCCGGCCCCCGCTGTACAGCTGCAAAGCAGCCTTTTGAAAAGGAACCTACAGTCTTTTTCTTCCAAGATTATTTTGTATCCAGTATGTAGCCTGGAAAACATACGTAACACACAGACAGACAGACAGACAGACAGACAGACAGACAGACAGACAGACGGACGGACGGACGGACGGACGGACGGACGGACAGACAGATGGACGGACAGACAGATATGTGTATCTATGTTTGCATATCGCGGGGCATCCACTGTGAGCTCCTTGCTCCCCCATAAGTTTTATTCACAAGTCACAGATTTAGAGGTGTGGCCGGATCTTACCAGTTCCTCTCCTCACTGGTGTTGATGACTTCCAGCATGTCACTATGACAAATTTCACTACTGGCAGCTTATTCAAGATAGCACAACTGAACACTAGTTCCAGAAGAATCACTTGCTTTTGAGTAGTGTGGAGTTACACACGCACACACACTCACATACACACACACACTCAAGCGTGCGCCTTCTGTGTATGCATCTTATTCAGTAGAGATTATGTTTAGGATGCAGCAAGGTCACGGGCAGGAGAGTTCCATCCCGAATTTAGAACTCTGCCTCAAGGATGCTCTCTGCACGGGGATGCTATAGGCTGCCTACAATGGCACTGCAGAATTCTCAAGATACACAGGGAAAAAAATCACTAGTGGCTGAAACAGTTAAGATAACAGAGAGCATAGGTAGCAAAGACCACTCTGGGTATAGGCAGAAGGTGGCTGAATCATAAGAGGAAGCTGATCACACCTGCCAGGCACTCTCCAGAGCCAGTGTGCTCTGGGCAAGGCTCTAGGAGGCCACCATCTCTGGAGCATACAGTCAATCTACCAGTGAATGAAAGAAGGAAGGAGAGCCCAGAAGAATGCCTGGGAATCCATCCCACCAGTATCAGCTAAATTAATCGTTAAGGTCCAGTGCAAAGCTGAGAGTCCCATGTTAAATGGTTTTAAAGAGTGGGACAGTAGGACTTGGAAATAAGTATGGGACTGTAGGCAATTTCTGGGGTCATATGTCTATAAGGCTGTCTCTGCCTGTGACCCCCCCCAAGGGCTCACACCATTTCACACACTAGGTCGATAACATGATAGTTTTACCTTCTCATACTTAGAGGACTATAGCATTATTCTGAATGTTCTCAGTAGTTTAGAGATTTTTTTTCCCCATTACACTTGAACTGTCTGTAGGCCCCATTGTAGGAAAAACAAAGACTCCTTCCATTTGTCGTAGGTAAGGCAAAGTGAACTGGAAAGCAAGCTCTTGGGTAATTCTGCTGAATCTTTCAGTGACAGAATTTCCTTAACCTAATGATAAAAAGTCGGGATTATTTTAATTATCAAATGGCAATTCAACTAAATGCCTGGGTAACGTCATGTAAGCAGGCTGGGCAAGCTGGATCCAGTTGGTGCCGGGCCAGAGGACGGCTGAGATCTCGTGTTCACGCTCACCTTCTCTTTCTTGTGACAGGCAACAAGCACAGATTCCCATCGCGACTGCTGGAGTTGTGTACCCCGGAGCCATCGCCATGGCGGGAATGCCGTCCCCTCACCTGCCCTCGGAGCACTCAAGTGTGTCCAGCAGCCCAGAGCCCGGGATACCCTTGATTCAGAGCACTTACAGCGTGAAGGGGGAGGAGCCTCACATCAAGGAGGAGATCCAGGCTGAGGACATCAACGGAGAGATTTACGACGAGTACGACGAGGAAGAAGATGACCCGGATGTAGATTATGGGAGTGACAGCGAAAACCATATGGCGGGACAAGCCAACTGATAAGGGCCGGCAGACTGTGGTGTGGTGAGCTGAGGACTTGAAGAGAAGCCCTAGCTGGTCCATCCTTACCAGTGGCCAAGCACATTAACTTTCTCATACACTGACTGTTATTTTAACTGTTAGTCTTACATAGTTGGGACGTCAGCTGACAAATAGACCTCCGTCCGCCTCGAAAGGCTCGGGAAGGAAACGATTGCCAAGCAGACAACATCAACAAGAGATTGAAATAAGCTATGGGTAAAAAAAACAAAAAAAAAACAAAAAAAAAACAAAGCCAGTAACTCAGCTGCTAGACCCCAGCACTGAAGTCTCGCCCGTCAACTTTTTTTTTTTTAAATAAACTCTATGGCTGTTTGTTCTATAACTAGAAATTCTCACTCAGGTACACAGTGCCAACAAGTGGCTTGTGAATGTGTTTTGTTGTTTTGTGCTACAATTTTTTTAAAAAAGTAAGTTTTGTTTTGTTTTGTTTGGGGGGATGGTTCTGGGTTTTTCTTTGGCCTTTTCTTTCCTTTTATCCTTTGCGATTGTTGTCTTGCACCTGATGGAAAGAGAGAGATGGGCACTTGGTCCCTCTGCCCCCTCTCTTTCTTCTGCTTTAAAGATGGGGTCCCGTGTGTGAGGGTGGGGGAGAGAGGAAAAAAAAGAGCCCGTTATTTTGCCTTCCTTGCTTCTACACCATACAATCAGCAATCATTTCCTTTAGAGACCTCTAACTCTTGCACACAACACTACGTCTTTAAGCAAGTGCCAAATCCATACTGAAGCGATCACCAACTTCATTTTCTACTCCTTCCTTACTCCTGCTCCTTCTGAAGCTGGGACAGTGTTAAACCTTAGACAGTCCCTGCCAAGAGCTGATACACCAGCAGCTGGTGAGATTGATTGTTTTTTAATGGAAACTGTAGGTGCCGTTCTCAGGTGAAAAAAGAGAGAGAGAGAGACAGAAATTTAGAGGAAAAATTATTTTCTGATCTTGGATTTGTGTGTGTGTGTGTGTGTGTGTGTGTGTGGTTATGGTACATTAGATACATTCCTATTAGGGAATAATGTTGGGCCATTGTAAGCAAAACCCCCCTCTCATAAGCAAGAATCCCACCTCTCATAAGCAAGTAGTCTAGAAGCAACCTTGACCTCGACTTTGCACTTCCAGCGACAATGGAACTAAACGTAGGGCTCAGAAATTCTATTTTTCAGTTTCTACTATGTTTATTATGGGGTGGACCTGATGGCCCTGTGTCATGGACATGGGCTTGCCAAACATGGAAGTGACCAACCCAATGCTTCCCGAGGTCCCTTCTCCCTAAACAATTTGCTTCATTTAATGTTTGCTACTTAGTGGTGTGTGTGGGGGTGTGTGGGGTGTGTGTGGGTGTGTGTTTCCTGTTGAAACTTGGAGTAAAACAATCATTGTTTTGACTGAATATATTTGGCCATTTTTCAGAGATACAGAATTAGGGTATGTCCCCACCATGCCATCTTTTCCCACTCGGGAAACAGAACTGGGAGTTCTGTAAGATTTTCTTTTCATCTCTACATGCAATGAGGTCAGACACTGCATTTCACAAATGGGGGCCATTCAGTAAGAAAAAGGATTTGGTTCCAATACAATGTAGCACCACAAAGTGGAGCCTGGTTGTACACAGACCCTTACTGCTGTTTGGTCCTTCACTGTAATTTGAGTCTGCTAAAGATCCATCGCTGGTGCCAGCAGAGTCCTTGCTGGGAGCAAGTGCCAATGGTGACAAGACTGGGGATCACCAACCAAAGGGCCAAGGCAGGGGTGGGGCCTGGACAAACAAACACAGAGTCTCTGCAGGTCATTGACCATGGTTAGTGTTTAGTACCAGCCAGTCAGCACTGTAGCCAGTGGCCTGGGTGGCTGTGTTACACTGTAGCCAGTGGCCTGGGTGGCTGTGTTACACTGTAGCCAGTGGCCTGGGTGGCTGTGTTACACTGTAGCCAGTGGCCTGGGTGGCTGTGTTACACTGTAGCCAGTGGCCTGGGTGGCTGTGTTACACTGTAGCCAGTGGCCTGGGTGGCTGTGTTACACTGTAGCCAGTGGCCTGGGTGGCTGTGTTACACTGTAGCCAGTGGCCTGGGTGGCTGTGTTACACTGTAGCCAGTGGCCTGGATATTTTACAGTGTTCCATCCCTTTCTCATTTTTGCTCCACCAAACACTGCCCTCAAGTTTGATTTTCCTGCACAAAAAAGCAAAAACAAAAAATCAAAAAAAAAAAAAAAAGAAAAATCCTTTTGTTTTTTTCTCTCTCTCAAAAGTCTTGCTCTGGGGTTTTGCTTGGAGGAGCTGATCATACCTGCATGTCAGAAGTTTGGTTCTATTTTCTGTTTGTGGTTTGTTTGTTGTTTTTATTTTTTAATCACTGTATTTTCCTTTGAATTGCCTCTTTTTGCTAGTGTTGTAAAATGATGATAAAATAATAATAATAGTAATAATAATAATAATAATAATAATAATAACGGTCAGCTGTTCCAAGATTAGTAAATTATGTATAATTTATTTTATTTCTCCCTTTCTATTTTATTCTGCTCTGATTTGGAAGTACAGCCAGTAAGCTGTTGGGTATTTAAAACTAATTTCTATTTCCAGCTCTTACATTCTTGTACACACATACATGTATGTGTGCATATGATACACACATACTCATCCACACACTTGCTTCTCCATCCATAACTTCCTCTGTGTTAACAGTTTTGGCCCCGGCAGTATCAGTTCTGGTGTTTAATATGAAGGGGTGAATTAGTAGGAGGGTCGCGTTCAATCTTAATTAACTTATGCTCTTTCCTCCCATTTTAGTTATTTAATTACCAATTATCTAGAGCCATTTTTTTGTTTTTGTTTATTTTGTTTTGAAGCACTCTGAATAAGAGAAAAAATAGACACTTGTGTTTATACCATTATAACATACAATGTGAAAACAGATTTATTAAAAACAAATGTTTCTCTGTGTCTGTCAAGAAACCCTCCTGACTGACGTGGGTTCTCCACTTACATGTGCTGGGTTCCTACCTCACAGCACATTCTAGCCAAGCTTGCTTTTCATTTCTTGACCTTGGGCAGCAAGAATACTTTGTTTTAGCTCCAGGTAGATGCTACTGAAGGCATCCACGGCCAAAACCCATCCCAACACAGCACTATCTGAGCAGACTTTCTCTTTGGTCGGCATCTGTTTTAGTTGAAGGGAAAACAAACTGTTCATGGTGACTTGTAGCAGCCGAAACTCTCCAGTTTAGTTGAGTTGATGTCTGTGATTGAACTGTGCCCAGAGAAAACCACAAAGCAAGTGCATAATGTTCCGTCATAATCTGTCCTGACATTTTCTTCAGTGGATGTTGAGTGTGCTTTGCCCAAGAGTTTTCCCTGGGGGACAACAAAAGCAAAGGTAATTCTATTCATGTCTAAGGTGCACTGAAGTCACTTGGGAAAAAAAAGGTGCTTTTAATAGCAGTTTAACTGTGTTAACACTTTGCCCTTTGGGCCCTTGATTGGATGATGATTTTTGTAAAGGATCCTAAAACTTTATATTCTTTTCTGTGCCACACAATGACCAAACAAGGTATGGTGGAGGAAATAAGACATATGAAAAGATCAAAGTTAGCAAACTGAATCCCACCTTTTCTCTACCTGTCTAACTGTTCAAGCCACACCCCAACCCTCCTTCCTTTCCCCTGCCTGTATGTTCAAGCCATACCCCCATCTTCCCTCATCATCCCTGCATTTATAACAATAAACAACAATGCTGCCCGTTTCTCCCTTTATATTTGTAATTGGTACCTCTAAAAATAGTCCAGTTTGATATAAATCTAAGAAAAATATTCACCAGAAAAAGTGGGTTTAAGTTGTTAGTAAGTTAATGATAATTTTGTTCATTACTACAATCAAAAGAAACACACTAGTATATTTTTACTCAAATTAATCAAATGAACTTTAAAAGTTCATTTGATATCTAGCTAAGAATTACCTTTGTGCTAAACACCTCCCAATAAACATATGTATCATGGTTGAAACCAAATCTTCCCATAGGGACTAAATATTAAAGTATAAAGTGTCCTTTAATGAGGTCACTTCATATATTTGATTTCTGAAGTACAGTCACCTTAGTTCACGTAAAGGAAATTATCTCTACTATTTTATGGCCCCTTTCTAGATATTTTCTTAATGCACAAGCTGATACTGTTCTCAGAGGAATCCTCTTCTATCTCATTTTAAAACATAAGAAAGAATTAGACTTTCCTTACTCTAAAAAGTAAATTATTGAATTGTAATAACTGTATATTTACAAACAGGTTTATAAAATATTTGTTTATCAAGTTAATAGTGAAGTAAAACTTTAGGAGGTCTGAAAGAAAAAAAACACAAAACAAACCCCACTTAAAGTGGCTGAGCTCTTTCTGTCTTGTAGGGCACAGGCATTCTCTAGCCAGGTTCACACAGTATTTAATTTTGAAGTTCTGCAGGTTGGAGGTGATGTGTGTTGAGTTTCCTACTGATGGGCCCCTGTCCGTCCCAGTGTGTCTGTCACTGGTCCACTAAGACAGTATTTATTCAGCTCCCCTGGCTCGAACGCACTTAAGTCTTTCTAACAGCTTGGATTTCACAAGTGAAAAGGTTTTGTTTGTTTGTTTGTTTTTAAATGATTAAAAAAATAGAGAAGAGACAATCAATGCCTGGACTTAAAACAAAGTATGTGCAAACCACCATCTCACTTGAAATTTAATAAAGTAAAAAACTGTGTAAATATAACATAGAGTTATAGATTTCTATTTTGTTCATAACACATAGTGTAATATAAGTTGTATATTTTCATGTTTTTGGTTTTATGTTATCATTCATGCCACAATAAGAATAAAACAGGAGTTTGTGTACTCTTGGGGAAAAAAAAAGATGTGGGTTCCCAGCAACCTGTTTTTTGCTTTTCTGTTTTTGTTTTCATTCCCCTTTGTTCTGTTTTGCATTCCCTTTTTCAGTATTACTGCCGTGCAAGGCACCAATAAAAACAGCAAATGTGTCCTTTATCTATTACACTGTGTCTCTCTGCACGATTTGTTGATGAACGGGTAACTGTTCGTTTATGAGACAAAGAGAAGTCTGGAGAAGTTGCCTCCTTCTCTGTAATCATCATGACATTGACTGACTTTGAACTAAGAACTAAGGGTGTCAGGCTTAAATGTGGACGTTCCTAAAACAGGACTCAGGCAGGAATCCACCCCGAGTCCATGCCTGAATCACTGACTCAAAGACAGCAGTTTCCATGTCGCCAGGCACACTTCACTGGGTGAGGGTTGCTACTCTTACACCCCACAGTTACACTCTATCCCTGTGCGTTAGTGGCAAGTTTCCTGATGTCAGCTCATACAGTACTAAGTGCCAGGAATCATTTTTGCCTGAGTGAGGTGCAGTTTGAATTATAGCCGCTTCTAAGTTGCTCATAACACACCTTAGCCTGTGGAGTCAGTTACCCATTTTTAAAGCTGTGGTTAAAAACACAAGTCTTTTTTTCCAAGGGCCAGTTTTGCTCCCAACATTGTGTGTTTTCTGTCTGGATAGTTCTGTGTGCCACACTTTCCTCTGAGGCTTTCTGAGTTACTGACTGGTTTGGGGTTTTGTTTGAAAGCAGCAGTGGCTGAGATAAAACCTACTGTGAACACTGGTAAAACATACATGGAGCAGTCTCTGCTCTGCAATTCATCACTAAAAAGGGCATGCTACAAAGGCAGACCCATGGAACTGAGAATTCGCTTTTAGATGTGCCGAGTCCAGGGCCCAATCGAGATATCAACCAGAACCTTGGGACATTAACTGTTGGCCATTGCTCAGCTCCAAATACTTGTGTAAACACTGATAGCTCCAAACCACCTATTTTGTTGGATAAAAAGGGCTGAACTCCTCCACCACCCCTACTTGTGCTTTGCATATGGAATCTAATAGTTACTGTTGTCTACAATGTTTTCACATAAACCTTAGGCCTCTGCGGAGTAGTTGACACCACAGTTAGAGAACATTCTCAGAGTCTCTCTCTCTCTCTCATGAATGGCTTTGAGGATATTGGAGCCATCACTATAGCGATAACCATTCCCTCAGCATCTAGGAGTTCACTTAGCCACAAGCTTCAGAGACCCAGGCATTGGGGCATCAAAAAACATCATACAACTATGCAAGGTTTGTAAAAGGTTCTGAAGAGAAAACATCCATTGTAGGATTCTGGAAGTAGACGCCGGGACAAGCTGAACATCTAAGGCCATGTTTGGATACACCCTCAGACTCTCTGGAAGAGGCTTTACCAGATTTTGGGTGGGGAAAACCTGAGCTTTAAGGAAAACTCACTCTCCTCGATCTCTACCAGACAAAGCTCCCTTCACTGCAACTACAGTATTTCAGTTTAGAGATCCCAATGCTATGTTCTTCAGGGCTTACGATATGTGAGTCAGGGACTCTTTCCCCTTGCTGCCAAAGAGCAACTACAAAAGTCTAAGCCACCAAGGAGAAGTTCCCATTTCTCTAACTTCAACACCCTCAGTCCGCCACTTTCATTTATTTATTTAGTTTTGTTTTAAAGGCGCTGTCACTGTTGCCAATGTTATACTTTTCAAGCGTCCCTTTCTATGACTTCACAATGTTACTGCTGCCACCTGCCACAGCAACAGAGGCCAAGGCACACAGGAAACCACCCTATGTCTCATGTCTAGATGGACTGTTGACGAAAAATCCAGTTTTGAAGGTTTATAAAGTTTATAAAGGAATCTAAAAGCTTGTGGGACAACCAGTTTCATAAGCATCATAATTACGCAAATAATATTGCTGGGAGTCCTGCAAAAATAGTTACATTTTCTTAAGCAGGCTAAACATCTGTCCTCCAATGCGGTACTCTACCAATTTGCTTAGCAAGCTATATTTTTTGCCACTAAGAATGAACTAATTCAGCTCTGATCGTAAGGCTCTATTATTTTTCTTAAGTCAGGTTCAAATATACAAAGTTTTACATCCCCAATATGCAAGCAATCATGGCCTAAAGTGGTCCTTCCATGATATCCAACATTCAGCCAAAAGGACATGTATTATGACATCATCACATTCAGTACACATTCCAGTTAAAGGGAAACACACTATACTAAACTAGCAGAAAAGCCGTAAGGATTAATAGGCCCAAGTACATACATGTATTTTGTACACTGACTGCTCAATTTATTATTAAATTTCAGGATCTAGGAAGCGATCCTAATTACACACAACTGTAAAATATATTTGAAATAAAGTTTTCGTCTATAAAAGTCAATGTTGGAATTTATAAATATATATCTATATTTATAATAAGTGCGTAGTGGCCTACTATAAGGTAGTGGGGGGGGGTAAGGTGGGGCATAGAACAGGTCTGGAAAGGCCACCAGACAGCCTGCTGGGAATGGCTGTCAGCCTTCATCTCACCATGTTCCAGACCGACACAAAATACAGTTTCATGAACTCATCTACCACCTATACTGGCAGAGCCCAAATAACGAACAAAAATTGTCTCTTTTTACTTAGAGATTATCCTGTAAGCAAACCTTTCCCCTTCCAGGTTAGCAAGCAGGACTGCAGTCAACCATTTGGAGGTATATGAAGAGGTGTTTCCTGATGTCTGAAAACTGAAGTCTCTGGTAGTGTTTAGTGTTTCATGTTAGCAACTTCTTTGCCCACAAGGCACACAACTCTATAAGCTTTTAAAGCTTTCAAAGACATCCCAAATTCTTATTTTTTGCCATATGAAAACTATTAAAAGTTCTCTTAACTTTCTAAGTATTTCAAGATTCTTTATTTTGCAAACTGAAAAGAAAAAAGAAAACCTTTAACAATTTTTATGTACCTTCCGGGTAATTTGTAACTCACAAAGGTAGAGATTGTATCATTGAGAGGTATGTAGACCTAAATCTAAATATCTAAGTCCATGAAAAATGAATGTTAAGAAAAAGAGAAAATTAAAGGGAAGTTATATAGTTTCTCTTGTCCTTGTCTTAATGCGGGAGTGCTTGTCACATATTCAGTTATCGATGCCCTGTCTATCTATCTGGAATAAAAGATAAACTTTTGCCAAAGTCCCTGAGCTACTGGCACCCAGATCATCAGATGAGTTAGGTGCTCTGCCCTGTGTTCCTCATGCTGTGATAAAATGCCCATGACAGAGGCTCACAGCCCCCGAGCCTTCATCACGGGAAATACGAAGCATCAAGGGACTAGGTCCAGCATCGGTGGCAGTGTTCAGCTCAAGGTCCCAACCTCCAAGGAGTTCAGAACTCCCTTCCTAGGGAACGAGGCAGCCTAGAGTGGGCCGGCCTCCCCACCTCAATCAGTCCATCAACATAGCCCTCCCAGGCAGGATCACAGGCCAACCTCATCGAGATAATTTCTCAATGAGACTTAATAACTACCGCAGACCCTTTCCTCCATTCTCAAAGTGTGTTCTGACTTAAATAACCAAGTTTCCTGCACGCTTTTCCATGTGATGAAGAAATACACAGAGGAAAGATAAAAGTCATTAAAAGGGACACATGTGTTAACACTATATGAACACATACACGTGTATATGCGGGTGTGCACACACACACAATAAACTTGGAAACTCTAATAGTTAAACAGATGCAGCTCTTATTTTCAAAGCAGTCAGGGAAAGCAAGATATCTGGGATTAGAAAACTCTTATTACTTGATTGAAAGAGCCTTGCAAGTTTACGATGAGAAACAATCCTCTCATTGTCCTAAGTTCGCAGATTGATTTCACACTTAAGGGCTCCCAGACAATGCAGAGAGCCACTTTTTCTGTAAACAGATTGTCGTAAGCTGTAGCTGTGTTTCCTGCCTGCTCACCCTACCGGTCCTCGTGCAGAGTTTTATAAAGGGAATTTGCAGGGGGTCTGGATAGAGATGGTACACATATGAATAGATAACAGGATATATGGATTAGACAGGGATTTTCAAGGATAAAGCTAGAAGAAATGCGTTATGATGAATATTTATCATGCCCCATACACTAGCTTTGTCAACTATCGGATGGTTCAAATTGGCTTTTAATTAACGTTCATTATGACGAGTCTGTGCAAGAGAAGACAATATCCCTTCACTCCAAATGCATGATTTGTGAGGAAATAAGATCAACAGACATTAAGCAACATTAAGCAAAATGCAGGAAAGTTATTAATGAACCAGAGTTGTAAGTGATAAAGGATTTCAAATGAAAATTAGAATTATTTCACTGTTGACTGAGGGAGGCGTCTCCTTTCAAATAGCACATAATAGGCATTGAAAAGCTAATCTCCTACTAGAACTAGAGAAAGCTGAAAAAATTAAGTCTTTTAAATTTTGTTTTGTTTTGCTTGTGCGATTAGGTTTTGTTACAGAGCACTTGATTGCCAGTGACACAGTGACACACAGAATTGTCGGCTCTACATGTGGTTGTTACAGCAGTGTGCTACCAAGCCTCGTCCTCAAAACTGTATTTCAAAGACAGTGGAGGACTTAGGAAACTATTCAGGGTAGATGAACCATAAATCCAGGAAAGAAAAAAAAAACCATCCAAGGTAAATCTGACGACCACTGACACTGGTGTTTAGAAAAGGCATAAAACAAAATCTGAGCCTTGCCATAGCTCTTGGTAGCCACTCAAAACAGAATAAAAGGTGGGAAAAGGAGCACATGGGACCACACACTGCACCCTAGTCACTGTGCACATCTAAAGAGACAAGCTGGATAGACCATCGTCCCAAGCCTAGGTTTCCCAGTGGCTTCTTTGATGAATCTGTGGGCTGAGGGAAATTAAACAGGATGTTTACGGCATTGCTTCTAAGAGAAATATTGAAACCTACCACCGTCATTTAGTGCTCAGGAACAAAGCGGAGTCAGGGAAATGGGAACTGCCTTAAACACACAACCAGCACCACTCCATGCTTCCCTGGTTGTGTCTTCAAAGAAAGGGAGCAGTGACACGTGACAGGAAACTGGAACGGGCTGACTTAAATATTCTGTATTCCTCCATGGCCGAAAATGCGTAAGAAC